TAATAACTGAAAAGGAAATTATAGGAATAGAATGTAATCATGTCACATTAATCCAAAGGATTAATAAATCTAAATTTTAAACATCAACAACTGATAATATTACCAGAAAAGAAGCTACCAGACACATTTCTGACTGACTGCTCACTTTAAAAAAAAATCATTAGCTTGTACATATGTTTTGAGTGCTTTTTTATATATGTTTTATTTTACAATAAAATGATTAAATGGGAGGGAAGGAAGGAGGAGAGGGACAAAGGTACAGAGAGAAAAACTGGTTTAAGATATTTAACAACTGATTGTGATGTGTATATAGACCGTAGTTTGACCTTTTTTTTTTTTTTATCCAAGCAAATCATGAAACAAATTATGGGAAAATTATAAAAACATGAACACAGAATTTTGACAATGTCAGTGAATTTTATTACTTTATAGGTTATTATAATGACATTACAGTTATACTTGCAGAAAAGATCTTGTCACTTAGAGAAATATACAGAAACATTTAAAATTGAGATTATAGAATATTATGATTTCAGTGAATGGGTGTAGATGAAAAAAGATACAGTCTGAACTGGTACTTTTGAAGGTAGGTATGGGTACAGGGAATGACTGTGTGTTGTCTCTATGATTGTAATTTTCCAGTGTAAAAAAATTAAAATGATAATCACAATTATTTCCCATTAATAAATGTGATATACCTTCTAGTTTAAAAAAATGTGTTAATATACTTATGTGCAGTTGAAGTCTTAATCTCTAATTCTTTTCATTTTTCTATACAGTGAATAATCTATGGTCTCAAAAAATTGTTTTAATTAATTAATTCTTCCTTTCCTTCATGCATTCACTCATAGTGGAATATCTTCTTTTCCTTTGAACTGTTCCAATTCTAAGACCTTCATGAAATGTCCCCTATTCTTTCCAATTTGAAATAATTTTTTCTTTGTACATACCCATATTTATTATGCCTGTTACAATGTAATATCTAAGTTCTTTTATTGTTTAATAGCCATTCATTCATGTTTACAGTCAGCACATGTATTTGGTGCAATATATCAGGGCTTGGGGTATCCCAGTAATGAATCAGATATGCATGCTCTGCATTACTGTTGTCCCAAAGAGCCTCACAATTTAATTTAGACAACATTATATGTAAGAAGAACTCCTACGGTTATCATTAAGTAAAGTAGTCCTTTTTCAGTTGTAATCAATTAATTCTCTACATAGCAGCATTGTGATCTCCTTAGTAATACAAACTCTGTAAGTGTTAAAAGACATTAATCAGTCTGAACAACATTGCTTTTTTGTTAATAGAAAGATAAAAACTGATGAAAAACTAACAATTCTTTCATTCACTAGTATAATAGATTATGTTAAGTATTTTATCTGCCATATGTAATACTCATCACGGTCCTTCAAGGTGGATAGCATCCTTTTACAGATTAGGAAATAGATGATTAAAGACGCAAATTATAATAGTTAACATTTACTGAGCACAGGAGTAAATTTGGAAGAGTATTATTCCAAATACTTTATTTAATTTAATTCTTTCAATGTGAAGTAAGTTCTTCTTATTTTCCATTTAATGAAACTGTGGTGTAAAGTGCCTGGGTGATTTGTTCACTGTAACATACCTAATAGCCAAGAGTCAACTCTGTGCATGCCGCATCAAGATTTCATGCTTTTACATCATCTTATACAATTTACTTAAAACAATGTAGGTGACAATGGCAGAATCTCAGATTTCAGACTAGTTCTATGTAGTTCCAATGCCTCGCCACTCCAGAAATGACCCAAAGAAAGAGGTCCAGTCTCTACTCCTGGAGCTTAAGGCAATTTGAAAGGCAAGACAGTATTTCCAATACAGATTAATGCATATGCTGAATCATGGGATGTTAAGAAACTTATGGTTAGAGGGGTAAAATCAGGGGTGGCTCAGAAAAACTGTGATTGTATGGAAAAGAAAATCAAAGTTTCTCCCTCGAAATTGCAGGAAGTGGGAGAGTTGAATGTTCCTCCTCTGTGTGCCCGTTCCTCTCTTCTCTCTTACATGGCAGAGTTTCCCTCATTCAGGGCTCTGAAACTACAGTTCTCTAATTCAACAATTCTGTGAGTTAAATTGCTATTTAGTGATGTTTGTTGAATAAATCATGTTTTGTAACTAGTCTAGAAAACAAACCATGGTTTGTAAGTGATTTATTGAATTTGGAATAGCCAGCTTATAAAAGAACTTCTGGGACAAAACATGCATAAATTGGAAGCTGCCTGTTAATTCTCACAGGGGCTTCTAGATGTAAAGCAATAATAAACCACAGACACGTGAGGTCCCATTGGTGTTTTTACTGTTGTCATTAGATTTATTCAGAGATTTAGTTTCTTTTTTTATTA